ATACATATATATATAATATAATATACATAAATATTGATGCTTATATATACAAGGTGTCCCAGAAATAAGTGCCAAAAATGTTAACTCCATATTTGATTCATTAAAGCAACAAATTTTGTCTAGGTAATAATTTTTTTCGAAAGCCTCCTAGTTTTTATCCAAAACAACTTATCAAAAATAATTTGAGAATAGATACGTCATGAAAAATGGAGCCAATATGTTGTAAAATCCTTATAGTTTCCGAGAAAAAAATTGATTGTAATATTAACGTTAGTGCGATAGTGTTTACATTAGTTTTTCAAGTGTCAAAACGTATAGCAACTCAGAGTTGAACAAGACAACATTTGTGTTAGTTCATAGAAACTGGGTAAGACGGGTCGAAATGTATTTGCACGTCGGTAGACAACATTTTGTGCAGTTGTTGTAATCAGGTATTTCAAATTATTTTATTAATTAAAACCACAAATTAATTTTATTAATTAATACCTAGGTAATGACAATACAGAATTACCTGGCCTTAGCTAGGTATCTTTGACATGCCCTTGTTGTTCTCGGGCTAAACTCTGTAGGGGCAGTTCCGCTCTCAGAACAGGTTAATTTCAGTCTGTTTCTAAAGCCACTTATTTCTGGGATACCCTGTATACACATAATGAAATATAGCAAGTAGATTATTACTTCTTACTCGGTGTTCATTTTTAACCACAGTAAAGTTTCCTTTGTTAGGTTCGAATCAGTGTCTAACATCAAATTGCCGTAGAATGTGTGCTGCATTGGAAAATCTATCTGCGTTCACTAGCTGCCCTTGCATAGTCCCAGACTCCTAAAAAGGGCATCCGGTGGCTTACGTAGAATTTTGATTTTCTTGTTCCTGGGCAACCCGCAATAATTATCGGCCACTTAAACACACTGAGTGACGTGCATTGAATTTCCTTGTTTCGTTGAACTGGGAACTATTTACTTTCTTTCCTCATTCATATGCAGCCTGTCTTTGTTTGTATCTTTTCCAATAAAAATAGGAAACGTTGTACCGCACGATGTTTTTCATTTAGAAAGTTAGTCGGCTTCCTTTGTCTCTTATCTTTGTATCTCGCCGTTGAATGAAAACCCCAGCCAAGCTGATAAACTACATAATAAATTTAATACTCGTCAGCGGTGAAATTTTCAAATGACGGAGGTGGTCAAACGTCAAACTTTGTTTGAGGCTACCAATGATGTAACATTTATTGCATGTCGCTGACAGGAACCCGTTTTAATTTACTCAACTGAGGGGAATTTATTTAAATCGTAAGCGGTCTTTTGAAATTAGGATGTTACAGCAATACCTCAAATCGCAGTAGCAACAAAATGGTTTAAAATAGTATTGTGAAATTTTTAGAAACCAATAATTTATTTATTTCGAAAAATACGTTTTAAGTTCAAAATTTTGTTACCTACAATTCATGTATTTGTAATACATGAATATTAAGGTGGCCCAAAAAAAAAAGGAATATTTTTTTCGTGTCTTGTGAAAATATGTTAGTTTATCATGTTTTTAAAACATTTTAGCCAAGCCACGTGATTGTGGTTTGTCATTTTCTGTTACGTAATTCTAACAGGTGCAAGAAGCCTATGCTCCTTACTTATTCGTGCGGTCTGTTTCATTCTAGTGCGATGAATCTCCCACCAAACTTTGTACAGTTACTCGCAGAACACCCTGTGTAACGTTTTATATAGAATTTTACTTACTTCCTCTGTGGGCTATGAATAAATTGTAACAAAGACTTATGCACCGCCCTGTAGATGCCTGGATATGTTAATAAGGGGGTTTTGTTCAGAGAAATAAAATAATTGTATGAAATATATATATATCTGACTTCTAGCAAAACGTTCTAGTCTCTCCCTCCTTGAACTACCGTCGAGTCGAGCCATAGCGGCGCCAGGAGAGAAGACAATGTTTAACACTTATATTTGATCATAGCCCTAGACTATGAGTCCCCATTTCAAACTTTATTAAAAAGAAAACAAGACTATCTAGTTTTACCCCGGCCTTTACCCCAAATTCATTACAGAGCTCTCTTGGAATAGATGGGAAACCTTTTAGCAATTCCTATTAACTTTTTCAGGTTTACCTACATTTTCAGTAAGGCTTATTTAACGCAATGAGATTCTTGCCCTATTTTTATAATGGTTTGAATTTAACCCCGGCTTTATATTCGGGAGGGTCCCTGGTAACGCTCGTATTGAAATAAACAAGCAATTCCGTCGTCTTGATATTTTCCAAACAAACTGATTTGAATTTCCCATAAATAACATTACTCACACGCCGCATGCCCGCGAATAAAAGAAAAAACTTCGTAGGGATCACTTCCTTGTCACTTGAAAAGGCAGAAGCGTATTCATTAATACTGCTGTTCGTCCACAGTGGTCAGTCATTGCTATTAGGAGCGTGAATATACAGGGTGCATCGTTTTGTACCAAAAACTGCGAGTGTCAAGTCATGTGTCAAAAGAATTATGTAGAATAAGGCCTCAGTCTTTTAATATAATACAGCAGATGGTTAAAAAATAGTAGTTTACGAGTAGATTAAAATTGAACGCATAATCTTAACACAAATTTTAACTTTGTAATAAAGAGAGGTTAAAATTATAAAATAGTGTTGAAAAATAAGGTACTTAAAGTTAGTTATGTCTAAAAGATACGTTTAGTCAAGAACCTGCCAAGCAAAATTTGTCGTAATCTTGTCATCTACATTTACGCAACTTATACCCACAGTACGATGCAAGTAATTAATTTATCTTTTCATATTTAAAGACATCCTCTGGCTACAGCTCATTAAAAATTAATTAAAAGAATGGATTACGATATACAAGCTTACAAGCTGTTAGAATTTGAATAGACCAGATACTTACTTTGATTATGTACAAATATGCTTTAAATAAAATAAATAATTTGTCACTAGTATAGAATTATATTCAAAGCACGTCATGTCAAAGGATTAGGGAATGTTACTGGACAGGCCTTGAGTAAAAGTGCTGGGATTCCAACAAACCTGCTAGTGACTTTGGGTTGATCTCTTTAAACACAAAGAGACAGAGAGAGAACTACTTAAATTTAACACTAAATTATTCAGTTCTGCTATAATTGTTCTCGGGCTGGGCTCTGAGAGAAAAAAAATCCTCGAAAGGATCATATACAGGGTGTTCCAATTAAAACTTCCCCTCTGGAAAATGTTTCGGAAATGAATCGGTTGCAAACAGAAAGTATCAACATGAATAGGTCGTACGGACTGAGGGTAATCAGGAAGTTGTCCTGGGTCACATCGCAGTGGAACCAAATTTGAGTCTCAGGAAACTTGCAAGTACAGTATTTCCGAAATCAGTTGAACATGTATAAAAACGCCTAGCAATAAAATTTAATAAGTTTTATAGGCGACCCTAAAAAAGTTTTATGCTAAAGATGAAAAATTATTATAATATGCATGTAATGTGTAAAAAATTTTTATTATATGTTCATTTGGCCAACATTTGGCTACATATTTTAATTATTTATGTCCTCAAACAATTTTATTATACTGATGGTAAATTTCGTTTTGTTCCGTTTCAAAAGGTCTCCAAAATGTCATGTTAGTAAACAAAATATCCCTCTTACTTCTCCCTTGCCCAATTGTAATATGAATGATTAATAGATAGTGCCTATAATAAATTAAAATTACTTAAATTACACCAAATTCCGCATTGCTGCACTGCACTGCTAGGCAATTTGTCAACCACTTGTCAACAGTTGAGATTTATTGCCCAGT